GATGTTTGGATCAACAGCTTCATTTCAGCCAGTGTTTCTGATAAGTCTGTCACCACATTTGTCTCTGGAAAATATTAAGCACAACATAGAGCTCATTCCGAGATGATCTACAAGAGGCTTGTTTTTCTCATTTCACCACAGATCTTATTTATATATACACTGCAAATAGATTGATACCACACACAGAGCACATCTACAGGGCCTGATTTTTCCAGTGTGATATTGGATTTATGATCTTGTAATTCCACAGACTTTAACGAGTTTTACCAGAATAAAGCTGGTTCCTAAAGAGAAAGGATGTATTATGAACTTGTACATATTACTCATGTATCCACCCAGAAACGTTAGTATAGGCAGACACCAGGCACAGATGACAGCAGTTAAATTTGCCTCGTACTCCCTTTTATAAGACCCTGATTTCAGTTGCTTGCAACTGCCAAATATTCAGTGCTCGGGCAGAAAATTTCCCTCTAACGTTCTTGTCTCAGGTTCAATATTTTCAGACAGCTCCAGCAAAAATAGCCCAGCCGTTTTGAGGATGAAGTTAGGGAAAACCACAGTGTTTCACCAGTATTAAGAAAGACTCCAACAGCCTTATTTAGAAGCTCTTGAAGCTTTGAAGCAAGACTTCAAAACACTGAAAGGAAGCAGTATGCTGTATCCCAGAAGTGCATGTGCTGCTGCCTTGGAAATCTGTCCAGGATCCAAGAGAGACATGCCCAAAACCAGCAGTTCACACTCAGCTGTTGACTGCGCACCAGGCCCCGAGTCACCCACGTGTGCTTGCAGTGGCATGCTCTGTCACAACGGGAGATCTCTGCACTCACACAAGGCATGCAGCAAACCCACAGTGGATGTTTATGAAATCATTTACAAGGAGACAATCAATGCTGCAAGTGTTCTGCTACACCACCACGTTGTGTTTGCTCTGCACGCTTCAGTGAACAGGAGCTGCCTAAGTTCAGAGGGACACGGAGATAGTGCCTGGGCAATATGGGCAAGCAGCAACCTTTAAAGAAGGCCATAAGGGAAGAATGTGAAAACTGCCCTAAGTTAGGGTTGGCTTGTTTGGAGGTTTCTTGTTTTGTTTTTTATAAACAGCAGTGTCCTAGTTAGCACTGCCAAAAAATACCTACTATTGTCTTTGCTTGGGCAGGGCTACATCCATTTTGGCTGCTTACCCCTAAGGAAATACATAGAATACTGAAGAGAGACATGCTTTTCTTGGTGCACGTGCAATCTTTAGACAACACAGAAACAGAAATATTTAGGGTGGATGGGGCCTCTGGAGTTAAAATGACCAGCAGCCCACCACTGATTTAAAGCAGGGCCAAAGACCAACCTCTTCTCAGGCACCTCGCTCTGGGTGGCAACACCCAGATTGTGCAGGTGGAAGGAAGTGACCCCCTTCACAAGCACAGGGTGAGAGACAGGAGCTGAGACAGGAGTGATGCCTATGGATGCACTCTTCCGCAGCAACTCAAATCAAAGCCCAAGTTCTTCCACAATCTGAAGAACTCCCAAGCAAAGAAGGTGGCTCACAGACCAATCCCTGCAGCCCAGTGGTTCACAGTAAACCCACAGCTCACCCACTGGCATTCAAATAGAGCATTCCACCTTTAACGTGCATTCATTTTGATGTCTAACACAACTCTTACAGACTAGATGCTGGCTACTCGCTGCAGCCACTGACAGCCATGGACTGCAGACCACCCTGACAGAGCAAATAGCTCTTCAGTGCTCTCACTGCACACTCTTAACTCAAGCAGGTTTCTGCTAAATCTCAGTATAAACAGCTCAGCCATCTTGGTGACCCCTGTGCGGGTCCATATGGTTCCATATGGTGAGAAAGCTGGGTTTTTTCCATTTGCTCCCTAAGACCAAATACAGGAAATTATATACAAACCAGTGTTAAGAGAATATTAAGGTTGCAGAATCAAGCAGTTACAAGCCAGGAACTGACTGACAAGGTCTTAGTCACATAAAAGAAACATCTAAATGAATGTGTTTTGATAGCCAAAAATGCTCTCTGAAAGACAGGCTACATAAATAGAAATAAATGAATGAGGCTGCTTTGTTTGAGCACAGCTTCTTAAATCATGATCATCTTTCCAGACCATTTCCTTCCCTCCTCCCTATATTTCTGCCAAATTGCAGCTGTTTAATATGAAGATTTCACAAAAGGTTGGTCTTTGCACTTGAAAAGTAAGCAAAGTTTGGGCTTCAGAGGTGATTTTAGATCATTTTGAAGACTTACAATGGTGTACATCGGGTACCTTAAATTTACTACCCTGAAAAGCTGCAGCACTACATAATTCTTCCTGTAATCTTCCTTCCCCTATAAAGGTGACATTCATCCCTGTGGTGGGTCTGCTACAGTTAAAGGTTAGACTTATCAAAGTGAAATCTGCTTTCAGCAAAAGGGGGAAAAAAAGATTTCAGGAGTCTGCTTAGGGTTGTGCAAACAACCCCAAATTTCCCCCCACTTTTCAGTCATCAGAGACATCACAAATAAGTGCCACATTTGTTAAGTTTCAGTAAGGGAAGGCCAAAGAAGCAAACAGAAGGCTCCCCAGTCCAAGCTGCATTTGGCTAGGAGGAGAGTAATCAGCTGTCGGTGAGCCCTGCAGGATGCAGTGGCTGAGGAAGATGGACCGGTCACACCATCCCCATCACGTGTTGCCTAAGCATCAACAGAGTCCACACGGGCAGCAGATGTTCACAGGCTGGCACTCACATCCCAATCTGAAGCACTAAATCAGCTCATGTTGGCAGATACGTGGGATCTTGCCATTCCAGCTCCTCACATGACTTCTGAGAATCACAGTGCTTGTGGATCCTGTTATGAGAATAGTGACAAGGGCCTGAACAGAAGAAAGCAGAAGTCGCACTGTAGGAGATATCTTTGGAGCCATCGCGGAAGACCTACAGAAAACACTAATCAAAAGGCTTTGACTCATGGGCAATGCCAGGGAGGCTAAAAACACCCAAACAACCAACAAAACAACAAAGGTAGAAATGTGGCAAACCAAGAAAGTCACATGAAATCAAAGTGAATTCAAACCCATTTCCCTGAGAACTCCCACACATGCAAGCCCTGCAGCAGCCTGTCTCCAGCAGCTCCAGTCCCAGGCTTTGCCAAGCCTCATCCACAGGTCAGAACGGCCACAGCAGAAGTGAATAGCCCCACAGATCCTGCTGAGGAGGTGAGCGGGATTTTCAGTGCCAGGTGGGAAACTTGTAGAGGAAATGAGTACGAGACAAGCAGAGATTGCAAAAGGACCAAGCTGTAGGATAGCCAGAGCTTGAGGTATGGATGGGAGTACAAAGGAGCAGGTGGTTAGTAAAGGAACGCCCATTTAAAATGGGAACAAGTCTTAGCCTTACCTGTGAAGTTCTCTTTCACCGATAGAAGCTGTGCTTTTTTTCTCAGGAGCATTTTTACTAGTCCCCCAGAGCTGATCATAAAACAAGATCATAGCTCTGGAGAAGGGCCAGCAGAGTTCAAAGCCCCTGGGTGGAAACTAAAGCAATGCTGACAAGCATTGAGGGAAAATTTGTGAGGTCCTGATCTCTAAAAGCGTATGTTTGGGATGTAAAAAAGTAATGGTTATGCCACCCACACTGTTCATTCTTTTCTTATGTGTGGAGTTTGGGGCCAGTGTATTGAAACATAAAACAATCTGAACGCTTTTTAGATACGATTTACAGCATTCCTGGACTGACATTTAGCATCATGACTTGCAGTTGAGCATACTATTCAACAAGCCACCTGCCTCTATAAATGTCACTACTTGGGCTCAAACTTGGTTTATGTCTAACTCAGAGGAGCTCCAGTTCTTTCAGTTCCCACCTGTTTATGGGGAGGTTTCATGGCACAGCACTGAAAAAGACAATTTGTAGAAGATAAACGTTAAAGTCGTGTGATTTATCATGTTTGGGAGCAGTGGAAAGGGGCATGCATTCCAGTAGAGATGCAGGACTGCCCATAGAATAAATTGGTGCTGGCTTGTGCAATCAGCAACCCTGTGAGGAACAGAGAGAATGACCCACTCACCATGAAAAGCAATGGATCACCAGGTGGGATGGCAGGCGGCCTTATGCTGTGAATGCTCCATCCCTGGTGGCGTTCAACGCCAGGTTGGACAAAGCCCTGGGAGGCATGGTTTAGTGTGAAGTGTCCCTGCCCATGGCAGGGGGGTTGGAACTTGATGATCTTAAGGTCCTTTCCAACCCTAACTATTCTACGATTCAGTGATTCTATGTTTTCACATCTGGAGAACTTTGAGCCTTTCACAAAGCACCAGACCTACCCAAAGGGGCTCTCTCTGGATGCAGGGATTTTACAGATACTACAGAAAGGTATTAATATGACCACCTCTATGGTGGAAGGGAGAGAACTGAGGGAGGCAGAGGCAAGGTCCTTTCCAACCCTAAACATTCTATGATTCTATGTTCAAATTACCATGTGCTGGAGTGTTCAAACTGCACAACTGCCCACACCACAGTCCCAGAAACTGTATCTATTGAGTGCCTCCACACTCATTACAAGAAATGAAGACAGCACTTGGAGACAAATGTCTGTCCAAGAGCAGCTGCAGCAGCAATGGATCCAGCACCAGTTGTATAAAGAGCCCTTGACCCTGGCTATGTGCTCAGGCAGCTGTATTAGAATCATAGAATAATTTAGACCAAAAGGGACCTCTGCAGGTCATCTAGTCCAGTGTTCTGCTCAAAGCAAGGCCAACTAGGTCAGGTAGGTCAGGCCTTGCTCTTGTTCATTAGGATGAAATGCTGTGCTGGTTTCGGCTGGGGTAGAATTACTTTTCTTCACAGTAGCTCACATGGGGTTATGTTTTGGATTTATGCTGAAAACAGGGTTGATAATCCAGGGATGCTTTAGTTACTGCTGAGCAGTGCTTACAGACTTGCCTTTTCTGCCTCTCACCCCACCCTACCAGCAAGCAGACAGGGGGTGCACAAGGGGTTGGGAAGGGACACAGCCAGGACAGGCTATCCCCAGCTAACCACAGGGATACACCAGACCATATGGCATCATGCTCAGCACGTAAAGCTGGGGGAAGAAGGGGAGGGGGACACATTTGGAGTAATGGTGTTTGTCTTCCGTTACATGTCATGTAAAGCTTCAAGGAAAGCTTGACGGCATGCTTTCCCCAAAGATGGCTGAACACCTGCCTGCCAATGCGAAGTGGTGAATGAATTTTGCTTTGCTTGCACATGTGGCTTTTACTTTACTTATTAAACTCGCTTTATCTCAAGCCATGAATCTTCTCACTTTTATTCTTCTGATTCTCTCCCCCATCACTGAGTGTGAAAGAGCATCTCTGTGGGGCTTAGCTGTCGGCTGGGGTTAAACCATTACAAACACACTGCCAGAGCTAATCTGTTGCCTCTTTAAATCACAGACACATATTACCTAGACTTGCGCTCCCAAACCATAATATTTGCCACACAGTCATATGGTGGGTAACAGAAGCCATTAGTAAATTTACTGCCTAACATATCACAGTGGAGCAGACAGAGGGCTCTATCAAACTCTCATTCCTTTGCTAATGTAAAACTGGCATTTTCCTGCTTTGCAGAGAATAAAAAGTGCATACAATATTTTCCCTGGGATCTATCTAGTCACAACAGAGACCAGGGAAACTAGGAGATGTGTATCTCTGGAAAAGGAGTGGTATGCTGAGATAGTTCACAGAGCAATTGGGGGTGCTTCATGTCTCCCTCTAAAACCCCCATATAACTAATCAGGTCAGAAAACTAGTATTTCAGAACAGGGACTTAACAGACATGGCTCTGCTTTAATGAAGCTCTCTTCTACTTGGCACAATATGTTGGTCTGACAGAAGTATTTCTCACCTGGATTTAAACGTTTTGGTCTCTGAAGATATCTGGACTCTTTCTGCAACCACCAATTAAGCTTCAAATACTGCAAAGAAGAGGGAAGCTAAGCCTGTGCCTGTCACCTTGCGCAATCAAACCTAACCACAAATTTAGCCTTCTGGGCTAAATAACAAATAGTTGGTGACAAAGCATGAAAATCATCTTGATGGCTAGCTGAGCTCTGCCTGACCTAATCTTCCTAACATTCACAGTATTAGAAGATTTAAAAGTTACATGTACGTCATTCTTGAAGATCATGGGATGAAAAATCACACATGATGGAAGTCCCCAGGCATGACTTGTAATGGCAAACACTTGATTTTTGTTGCAAGAGGTTTATAAATGGTTGTACTCCACTTCTGGAGATTTCCCTCTACAGTTGACTCTTCCTGTGCAGAACATAGTCCTGCAGGCAAAGACTGGGTGATGGTACATCAATTGCAGAAATGAGTTCTTGCTTGGCACAGGCTAGATGAGTGGTCTCCTTTGTACAGCCATTATTTGAACATGTGGGAGAAATGAAGCAGAGACTTCTAGAATCATATGAATTCTAATATATAATGTTAAAATGTCCCATGCTAACAATAATCCTGAGAACAAGCCCTTGTGCTAAAAGTAAGATTGTTGTAGATGAAACTTCACATCCTTCCTGCAAGTGAAGGGAACAACAGGCACAGAAGTAAAGCTCTTGTGCATCAGCTTTGTGACTCTTATAACCAAGGATTGTCACACTGAACAAAGGCATTCTGCCATTCCCGGAATTAAACAGAAACGGAGCCAAATGCAAGACAAAGGTAGAAAGAGGAAGAAAAGGTATCCTGCTAACAAGGGCTTTTCAGAAAACTGCCAAAAGGGGTGCTTGGTAGAGGTAACAGCATCAGAAAATGTATGTAGAGATACAGGATCTTCTCTCAAACACTCCTTCCTTGGATCCTCAGCTGGCCTAGGGAATCAAGGTGATGGTGGGTGTTGAGGTCTCTTCTTCCTTGAGTCTGACTGGCATGCATACTCTGTCAGAAGGAACCCACGAACATGTCAAAGTGAAAAACAGATCTATCTTTATTCTCAAAATGTTAGATTTTTAAGCGTTAGTCACCCATAGGATGGTACAGCTGAGGCCAACATGATCTTCTCATGGACCCAAAGGTTGCAGTAGACTGAACCACAGTGTCAGAAGTATGTAAAACCTATAGGAATGGGTTTTGCTATCAGCTTTCCTGAGAAATGCTGGACTAGAAGCAGCTCTCCAACGTCATCAGAGAGACTGCACCAATTTAAATAATCACACTTTGCAAAGAGCTTTTAGTACTACAAAACTCTGAACCACAAACTGATCCAAGTTAGGTAAGTAATAAGGGAGCCTCTTTCAATGTCACCCCAACTGTCTCTCTTCCTGCCTTCTGGCTCCTGCAGCAAGTCAGGCACATGGTGAAAAAACATTTCAAGCCAGTGGGTGGCATCCAGTATTATGTGCTGCATGTGTCACTGATAGTTGGAATATATCAGATATTTTTAGCTACTGTAAGCAGTTTAGGCAATCAAGTATTGTAATCAAGAGCGTACAGAAGTTCAGCTGTATTAGTTCAGTCAGGGTTTTAAGGACTCAGGTTTTGCAACTCTCAGCTAATGAGCTGAGGTGCTCCTTGGTTTGGTGTAGCACAGCCATTTTCAGAAGTATGATCTTCCTGAGAACTCCCCGCTGTGTTCAGATTAGGAGGCAGTTATTTCAGCAATAGCAGCTCTCTGCAAGGAAATAGGAAAGGTAGCCCTTATTGAAGATATTCAGATATCTGCAAGGGTGAAAATCTCTGGGTTCCAGTGGGCCGCAAAGAAACAGTATGTGAGAAATGACAGAGAGAGATTACAGACAGAAAGATTATAGAGCAGCCAATCTTTTTCAAGACCAAGCACGAACCAAGAAGAAACCTGTGACTGTTGCTCAGCTGAAGGAGCCTGCCCAAGCAGAAGCAGGAGGAGAAGCCAGAGCGCCTTTCACAATGTCCCCCCGATTTGCTGGGCCATCCTCCCTCCCTGCCACATAGCTGACAGGATGAACTGAACACTGGCACAGCAGTGTCCTCTGGAGAAGAAGCTGCAGATGAAGCTGGACGAAGGGGGCTCTGAAGGAACTGCTAAGCCTGGGTGTTTCATGGCAGAGCTGTACCTGAACATGGCAAGCTTTGGCTCTGTGGCGGTGACCTGAGCTTGGTACCAGAGGAAAAACATTTCCCCTGCAAATGAGAGTAGAAATACAGGAAAGAGTTACAAATGTGTTCTAAATTGCTATGAAGGAGAAAGCATGAGCTTCGTAACTGTATTAGTAACTGTCTTCTCTCTAAGCTTGCGTATATCTGCATGCCCCCTCTTCTTCACTGCCACATTTTTATCTAGAGCTTCATACAGGCTGGTCTCCCCATCTGGCTTTCCAAGGCACCCATGAAGAGGCAACACATCTGCACCTCCGATAAGTGAATCATTGCAAAGAAGCTGAAATTTGGCAGCAAAGCTTGAGACTGGATGGCACAGGTGTGCTGGATGTGCATCTCTGTACTAGGGCTGAGCAAATAGTTGCAGGGTAGGGATGTGCCTCTACTTTCCCCTGCAGTAACACAAAGTAAATGACTGCAGGTGCCTTTCTCAACCTTTAAAAGACAGTATTTCCCTGTTCAGCCTTTCCTCCTTCAGCAATATGCTTTGTCATCTTGGAAAAGGTTAAGAACATGGGGGTCACAACCCATCTCCTTGAAACCTCCATAGATCCCTCCATTCATCTGGCTCTCCCATTCTTAGATCCTTTGTCAGCGAGATGCTCCTTCTTCTCTTATGAATAATAAGCCACCTGCTTCCTTCAGCAAGCAGAACCTACCAGACACCTGCTGACACTGCAATCCAAGCAGACATTGATTTCTCATGTAGGTTCTCCCTTTATATCTCCCTCTCCTACACATCTATAGTTCATGCAATAGAATTTATACCTTTCATACCTTCCCCTCCCACACAACTTTATAGTTCATGTTTCAACTTCTGAACTGCTCTGAGGAAGTGACATACCCTAGCAATTGAAGCTAATGCTACTTCAAGCCGTAGTTTCCAGAGCTAGAAATTGCATGGTGGTGAGACTCATGCCTAATGCTTATTGCATTTTCTGATCATGTCCTTTCAAATGGAAAGTCTAATTACCTCCAACTGTCTGAAGCAGAGCCACTTCATTCAAGATTATTGCAATTATCACATTTTGAGCAAGTCAAACACCTGCCCTGCTAATCATCTCTGCTCACACAGCCCAGCCAAGCCATTTCACCACTGCCAACCCTCAATTCCCCCTGCCCATTCTGCAGGAAGAGCAGCAAGACTGACTCAATAAAATCCCAAGCAATATTCTCTATCTCCAAGCTGACCCTGCTTTGGGCAGCAGGTTGACTAGAAACCTCTGAAGCTCCTTTCTAACTTGAACTATTTAGTGATTCTAAGTTCTCAAACAGGGATAATAACAGAAATTGATAGAAAATCTAGCTCTGTAACATACTCCCAACCACAGGTTGTATGTTTCCCTTCTTTAGGGTTTCCCCCTAATCCTAAAGGGTACGCTAATGGTCACCACAAAGCCCAGAATCTGGACACACAGCCAGAGGCTTGGCACATTCAATCATTCATAATCACTACCTTACCTACCTTTAGGTGTTTCTGTTCAGCAGATTTTCAAGCTGTTCCTGCTGACTGCCTTTTTTCAAGGTCCTGCAACTTTGACATTCATAGATTATCTTTCATAGCACTCACTGATGAACTGCTGACCTGAATGCAGTCTGACAAGTTTCCTGAATGCTGTAGCACCATTTACCTGTGTTAGAGCATCTACAGGAAAAGACAAAAATAAAAAGGGCCAAAATTTTCACAATACATGGTGCAATCAAGGCAACATAACACTCTAAAACAGGAAGAGAGATAACTCATCTCCTGGGCAAGGAAAGGCTGTAATTTACTGTAACAAGACAAAGCCTATACATCAAATTACTCACGTTTCAGAATCTCTCTCTTGCACAAGCATCAGCAAAACCAACTATACACTTGCACACAATCAGCAAACAAGAAACAGAGACTTTTATTCTCTGATTACTGAGTGTTATAATCTTCCTGAGTGCTTCTCCTTCCCCTCCAAACAAATCCACCAGGTGGGTGTACTCACATTAGCTGAATTACCCACCCAACCTGGATGGTTCATCTCCCTGTGCCAGCTCTGCAAGAAAAGAAGGAAGCAGGCTTTGCCAGGGGGTGATTTAGAGCATCTGATGGCTTAGGAGCACAACTCTGCCTATCCCACACTCTCCTACAAAAGCCTAACAAGATAAGCCTCCTAACTTAAATTAGGTACCTAAAACCAGATGGTGTGCTTATTTTTTCCCTTATGTCCTCATTAGTAATACACACTGTGTGTCTTTAATCATACCCACAGTTGGTCATCTTTTCCCCCCTATTTTTCTTCAACCAAAGTGGGGATATTATGAAAAACAGTAAAAAAAAATACTATTGTATAAAACTATATGGTGAAGCAGAAAGCATTCAGGAAAGGAAGCAATGCTTCCCACTGCTTTAATACTGCTTTGGAAATTCATTACACATGAACTGTTAGTGTCCTGTTAGGCAACCTCCTGCAGCAAAATGAGTCTTGGATTCAGGTGCTCTGTAGTAGAAGTGACCTTGGATGGAAGCCACAAAGATGGCAACAAAACAAACTGGTATATGTTCTTTGGCATTAAGTAGCCAGTGCTTTTTTTCCTGCAGCAGTACTGTCACAAAGTAAAATCTGGAGTTAACAGTCAAGTACAACTCTGTACCCAAATGAAAAGTAAAAGACAATTAAATCTTCCCCCCTACCCTAAAATCAGGAACAAAGCAAGAACATGAAGTTATAAAACTGAGTATTTACAGTTTATAAACAAAGCAATGATATCTTTTTCTTCTTATAGTTAACCTTTGATTTGTTTGCCACATTTCCTGCATCTTCCCCAACCTCTATAGTGACAGAATTCCATTCAATCAGAATTTGGGCCCTGAAATACTGAAAAACTTGCTCAAAATCTATTTGAAAACATTTTACACAGTACTGTATCTAAAGAAAGAAACAGTAGTAAGAAAATCTCATGATTAATAATCCGTGCTTTGTAGTAATACGTATTGACAGAAAAAATTGGATTACTCCATAGTTGTTCTTAATTCAGCAGATCACAGCCCTGAAGATGTGAGTGGAAGACACAGAAATCCAGAATCATGATTAAGTGAGAATCCTTTTTCACAAAACGCAGAAGCTGAAGATCGAAGGTAATATCCTGATGCCTTGGAAGACCACTGCATCCTAAAGCAGACAGCAAAGAGGAGGCTAACAAAGCCTGATCGTAACAGACAAAGATGAACATAAGCACTCTCCCCCATCCTTCCTTGTGTCACAGGCAGCCTGGAATGATTTGCAACCACAAACAGCCGCTACTTCAGCCACACAGTGGCAGCGGTTTTTCAGTATGTGTGTTTTATTAGAAGAATATCAATCACTAAGTCATAGCAAATCCCATTAAACAATCAAATATGCCTTTGCAGCAGCTAGGAAGAATCAACAGAAAGAACTGAGGCAATCTGAGACTGCAGAATTCTCCCTTCTTCACAGAAGAACCTTTGGCAGTCAGGAAAAGCCCTTCAGACCCTCCAACCTAGTGGCTCAGACGGCCCTGGGTTCTGAAATCAGCCATGCTTACCAGAGGAGCACAGTGGGAAAGTATTAGCAACCTACTTACCTTATCTTCATGAGATCAGTGAACCTTTCGATTAACAGTACAAAAAGGATAAATATTGTGTAACTGAGCACCAGGAGTACTAACTCTGCCTTTGAGAATTTCCATGCTTGCTCTTCCAGTGAAAACAATGCTTGGGAGACTCGGCCATGTTGCTGGTGGTGGTGTGTTTTATCTCTACAATGATGCAGACAGATCCTGTCAGTCTTTCTTCAAAACAATAATACAAATGGAGCTAATCATGCTGTTTACCCTGAGTTGATTCTTGTTTGGCAGAATTCAACAACTATGAACCTTGTTGTACCAAGGAAAACTAGACTCCTTGCATCTGTTTAATCTCACTTGATGTCGACACATTTCTGAGTGGTCTATACATAGAAATGGATGGTGATAGCTAGTTCTGTTCAGTGCACGTTCAGATGCTTTTGGTGCTCTCCTATTTCTCTTGTTGCAGTTTTGTTTAACCCCCTGCATCCTCCAGAAAGATACTCATTGCAGGAGGAAAAGGAGACACAGGTTATGCTTTCTCCATACAGACACTGCATGATCTGCTCTACAAGGTGCTGAGAGACAGAAGGCCAATATCTTTAATAAAAAAGGAAAACATCCATTATTTATATGCTGATATGACCTTTCCAGACTCTTTCTCTCTTTCTCTTTTACTCTGAATCTCATTAAGATGACTATGGAGAGTATTCCTGATGGGCACACAAATCCATGTAGCTTGAGTTTGCCAGAAAACCCATAAATTCAGTAGGATACTGCATGAGATTGGTGAAGTCCCAGTAACTTAGTCAAACAGGCAAATACAGTATTTAAATTATTCATTTAACATCTCTGATAATAAGAGGAAGCAAACACTGATTACCTTTCACCTTTGCTGGGGACCAACCAAGAGAAATGACCATTTTAAGAGATCTGGAGATAGAATTCAGCTTAAGAATGTGATTCTAGGTAAAAGATCAATGTTCTGTCAGAGGGCAGGAGGTGGCATAGGAGCCATATATTTACTTTGGTAAAAAATACTCTTATAGAACCCATTAAAAGTGGCAATCACAGAATCACAGAATGGTTTTGTTTGGAAGGAACCTTAAAGCTCATCCAGTTCCAACCCCTGCCACGGGCAAGGACACCTTCCACTAGACCAGGTGGCTCAAAGCCCCATCCAACCTGGCCTTGAACACTTACAATCACAACATACAGTTTCACAACCAAACCAGCATGTTTGTTAATACCTGCAGACAGGCTACAAGCTTCACAACACTCGTGATACATGGTGCAGATGATACCACAGGTCACCTAGAGTTCTGCTCCCACGTCAACGGGTTCACTTCAAAGTCTCAAGAGAAATTAACAGTCAGGATGTCATTCATCAGCTAGGCGAGAACCATTTTTCTACGTGACAGCTCATCATACCAAGCAACACACAAAAGATACAACTAAAGAATGTCACATCTAGACAGATTAGAATTGCAGCTCAATAGGGGAACCCACTGTTACTAAGCATTTTCATAAATTACATTCTGACAGAGCTTTTCGGAAAGGTATTAGCAGTGATCCAAACATTAGGACCTAGCAAATTTCTTGGGCAAAATCCTGGCTCCGTTAAAATGAATGGCAAAACTCCCAGACACTTCTACAGAGACAGGATTTTAATTTCTCATGCCAGCTGCAACACACTGCTACTGCTTTGGGCAAACTATACTAACTCAACCTCCCCAGTTATAATAGGCCACTAACCACTGCTCTTGGAGACACTGTGGCACAGAAGTGCCCCACACAGAAAAGGGTAAGCATTATCAATCAGTACAATTAAGAATCATAAAATGGTTTGGGTGGAAGGGACCTTAAGATCATCCAGTTCCAGTGCCCTGCTATAGGCAGGGACACCTTCCATTAGACCAGGCTGCTCGAGGCCCCATCCAGCCTGGCTTTGAACCCTTCCAGGAAGGGAGCATTCACAGCTTCCTCGGGCAACCTGTTCCAGTGCCTCACCCAAGGAAGTTGTGCCTGTTAGCAAACAGGCTGCTTCAGCAACTCACTGTCAGGAAAATACTCCACTGATACAAATACTGGTCTTGCACTTTCAGCAGGATTCCCACGTACAGAAGACTGGCCTAAGCTCTGGTGCAGAAGCGCTGTCTTCACTAGTTTGATAACTTAAGAATTGTATTTGGCCGATCTGTAATGATATCATCTCCATTAAACAACAGTTGTGTTCTATTGCAGGCAAAGTGTGCATGTGAACAGTTACCTTCACAAATCTGAGATTAACAAACAGACACTGCTACACAAATGCACATATTGGATTGTTAACACACACATTTGTTTAAAATGAATTCTGCGGTGTTCTTGCAAGTCAGTTTTATGGCTGCATGAAGAGAGGCTGTAAAATGAGATCAGGATCCTTGGTAGGTGGCATGTTACATTTTTTTAAGAAATATTATTCCTCCCATAGAAATGCACAACAGATGTAACATTCGACCTAAGCAGTAAGATTTATTACTATTTTTAAAGCAAATTCAGCACAGCTTCAGAGAACACTGTCCAAAATTCTTTGAGCTAGGAAGAGGTTCTTCTTGTCATCGATGCACACTTTGCGTTTGTCAATTCTTACCCTCAAAGCCAACCCATAGTTTAGTATTTCAGGCTTCTTACAAAGGTGATGAACCTGTAATTCAATATGCTAATGTAGCACAGAGTGGTCTACCTCACTGCACACATGGGCTCCTATTTTTGCTTTTAATACCAAAAGAAATCTGCATGGCCTCTTTGGTGTCTTTCTGAGCCCAAAAACATTGCAGGTGATGTCAAGCATACTACCAACAGCAGATGCAATCAAAAGCAATTTTCACACACTGTTTATCAATGATAAAAAACAACCATTACGGCTGTGATCAAAGAATGGAGTCCTGCTTATAGTGTCTTAAATTCTTTCTTTACCTCATGCACTTTTGTATAAATATTTGTTTTCTATTTCCTTCAGAGGCCATAGTTGTTCTGTTTTCTAAAAATAACCACCTTATGCACAGTCTCCTCTTTCAAAGCACTGCTCTTTTTCCTTTTGTTAAGCTCATTTCCAAGTCCTCTCTGCATGGAGAGTAGTGAAAAAGGGGTATGTGAAACTTCACTAACAAACATGTTAAAAATGCCTAAAAATGAGGAACAATTCTTGGATTAACCCCTCCAACAGTACGCGGTTCTGTGAAAAGTCAATAGGCCTCCATGTTATGTAGTGATTTTATATTCTGAGTGAGGGCAAGAAATCCAAAAATTAAAACATACCTGAACATAACATTAAAATCTCATTTCAAGAAAACACTCATTTTTGCTGCTCAAGAGTTTCAGACTATCCTTTCACTTCATCTAACATAATCCCAGATGGTCCAGCAAGCAGCCCCTGACCAACACTTTCCATTCACCTCAGGTGAATCCTGGAACTGATGCTGTTGTTTAAATGTTGGAGAAATTGATGCCTCTGAAAGTTCAACTCTTACCGCACCATGTGCATAGCCAAGCACTTAAAACTGTGAACCTCTATACAGGCTATAAAGAGGATCCTTGCATTAATATACCATTTTCACCTCATTTCTCTGATACGGAAAACTACCCGCTTGTAATAAGAATTGCTTTCTGACCCCAAGTTTGAAGCATCCCACCAAATCTGGGGCTGCCCAGTTACATTCTTTTCCTGGAGAAAGGCATGGGACAAAGTTCTTGGATGCTCCTGCAGAAGATCCAAGCAACATCGGGAACACTGCAAATCTGAGATCATATCAAATACATCACACCTCAATGAAACTGGATGCTTTCCCTATTCATTACAATTAAATATGCCTGCAGATTTTCTCTGAACTGCTGTTCCACAAAACTCTAGTCAGGAAGCAGTTCATCAGTTAGCTCCCTAGACATAGAGTGTTTTAGGTAGCCCTTTAGTACAGAATCATAGAATGGTTTGGTTTGGAAGGCACCTTAAAGCTCATCTAGTTCCAACCCTGCCCCTGTCATGGGCAGGCGCACCTTCCGCTACACCAGGTTGCTCAAAGTCCCCTGCAACCTGGCCTTGAACACTGC